TTACAAGTCTTTATAAAAGGTTTACACATATCTACTAGAATTCATATAAATCTTTATAATACAATTACAGTATGCCCAGATTATGGCAAAGATAATAAAAGATAATTCTTAATATAGCTAAATTTCAAATTTAAGGCTAAAATTAAAAATGAAAACCAACTTGATTCTTGATTCGGTATTGCTCCAATTGAAAATGTAACTGCATAAACTTCCTGTTATTTGAGCAATTCTAAGTAGGCATGTAGAACTTACTTCTGTATTGCTGAGAAAACTACAGGGGCATTTTTATGCCAACATCTGTAATCACGTTTGGCTTGAGGAAGTGTTTACCTCTACTGCACTACCCTAAGAGGAACACCTGTACGGTACTTTCATTTTATATATTCATTCTCTTTGTTAGGTTACACAAAATAGTTGTTCTGCAAAAGTACTTGGGTTTGAATCTAAATGACTTCAAGTAATACCCCATGCAGTGAAAGTAATAATCTAAAAAATTCAGGACGAGCTCAAGCAACGGCAATATTTATTTTCAGCAGGAGTACTTGTGAAAAATCAACCGAATTGGATACAATCTAAGAGAGGAGCTGTGAGGTTTTAGAAGATATTACTTGTAGATTAAGTACTTCTTTGGCCAGTCCTCAAATAATGTGGTAGCAAAGAAAAAGTGAACAGAGTAGCTTTGGATAGTGAGATGGGCATACTGTAAATTTAATAAATAAGTAAGCAAATATGCAATTCAGGGGGAAAAAAACTGAATCAAGTTGTGATATAAACATTTGTTGCAGAAATGATCCATTTTACACTGAGACATCTGCCCAATAACAATGATTTTATTTTATTATTTGATTACATGTTAATTATAGGTAACTACAGGTTAGAGATAACCCTGGTACAGATAACTATGGGAAGCTAATTGTACAAAAAATACTTTTATGGTATTTGGGAGTTAATAAAGGACCTCAGCATCTGGTCTTTGAAATTAAATAACATTTTAACCTTTCAAAGTCTCTTGTAATTTATGTTAACAATCTTTACATTTCAGATTATTTCAAACTGCAAGTAGTATCAGCCAGTTCCAAATAGCTAATATCTGCAACAATTATACCTAAATGCAATACTGCAGTTAAGAGTCTTGCTGCTTCTATACACAACTGAGTGCAATGAGGATACATGTGCATTGTACACTAGCCTTCGCAAAATTTTTGTTCTTGACTCAGTCTATAGTGGTGGGTTTATTGCAAGGTCGGTTAAGTTACTATAAGGGATTTTTAATGAAAACAATTATAAATTTAAAATAACTGTGTTTAAAGCATTTAACAGTCACTGGGGTCAAGTGATTACAGCAGTTACAAGACCCCTGGGATATGTTCACACCAAAACAAAGTGAATAAATTACCCCAGCAGGCGTGTGTAATCACTAAGTGACCACAAAGGTCAGGCAGTGTACAAGCCCAGATGACTTTCATGAAAAACCAATAATAAAAATTTATCAGTCAAGGAGCAAACACACACACACACACACACACACACACACACGTTAGCTGATAGTTACTGCACAAAAGAAAATGCACAAGGCAAAATGCAGAAAAATAAGGTTAGATAAAGAAGTGGGAAAAATAAAAGTTGACCAGGATGTGCTACGGTGAAGATGAAGTCTTAAACAATTCAATCAACTCAGTCCTCTTAAACAGGCATTTCAGATGCACACCTATTAATTCAAAATTCTTGCTGTCAGAACATAAGACTATGGAGAAAAGAGAAAATAAAGGAGAAAATGTCAGAAGTCTTAAAACAATGGGGGGGGGACCTGTAATGAAAACTACCGATTAAATTTCTATGGAGATTCTCAGTCATCCAGGTCATGGTCGTCCCAAAGGTGCTTTTTCAAGATGGTGATGGTGATGATGATTTTTCAAGATGACTGGATGGTGGGGAAGGGTGATTAGTCAGAGCTGAAGAAGCTTCTTGGATGAGAAGTGAAACGTCTTCAAAGAAAAACCAGAAAATGCAATTGCCTCTTGAAAAAGCACCTTTGGGACTGTTGAGTAAATTGGTTTCGGCTTGTTCCAGAGGACAAAATTAGAATCAATATTGAAAATTGCAGCAAAAGCAGCAAAAGCAAATTTCAGCTAAAAATGTAGAGCAACTTCAAATGGGATGAACTACCTTGAATGGATTTGTGATTGCCTTGGAAGGTGAGTAAAAATTCTTTATCAACAAGGATAGCTAGCTATAAATTGCATCTTTCATTGCAGGTCTTATCTTAAGAAGCAGCCCTGCCAACCAACTTTGTAAAGATGAGCTCATCTGCAAAAGAAAACTATAAGAATTGGAGTTCAATTCACCCAGATAGCACCAGGCTGGAAAAGATGGGTTGGAGAGCTGGATTAGATTACTAAACCAGAATCCAAAGGTCATAATTCTGACCATAGTAACTAGCAGGGTGGATAAAAATCAATGATTTTTTTAAAAAATCGGATTTTTTTGATTTAAATCGGATTTTTTTGATTTTTATCGAATTTATTTTAAAAAAAAACTTTGGGGGTAAAAATCTATCGTAATATAGTTTTCTATTTAAGATACATAAATAATTTAGTTTATTCAGCATGAAATGAGCTTAGTTATGTAGCATGAGGCTGTATATTCTGCAACACTGGGACTATCGGTGAGTCAACAGTGGGTCAAAGGAGTAGCAGAGATGACAGTTGCTCTTTAAAAATTATGATTTAAATTGAGTTGATTTAAATCAAGCCTTTTTGCTAGTGATTTAAATCATGATTTAAATTGTGATTTAAATCAACTCGATTTAAATCAAATCCACCCTGGTAACTAGAGACTCTATGATGTCAACCTAGGACAAACTGGCTTCCAGTTAGTTTCCAAAATTCATATGAAAGCTGACTCTGATCTTCAAACTTCAGCTTTGTTGGATTTCAGTGATTTGGGAAGAGATTTGCCTTTCCTGCTGTTTTTAGGCATAAACTAAAATAATTCTTGTTCAGACGGATTGTTGGGACCTCCAAATACGCATATTGTTTGAAGGAACCAACTTCTTGAAGCTGTCCTTGCTCAATCTTCTACAGTTCATTCATCAGCTGTAGTTAACAGAATAAGAGTTGGAAGGACCTTGGAGGTCTTTTAATCCAGACCCCTGCTCAGACATGAAAAAGGGTTGTCCAATCTCTTCTTTAAAACCTCCAGTGATGGAGTACCCACAACTGCTGAAGGCAAGCCATTCCACTGATTAATTCTTCTAATTGTGAGGAAATTCCTCCTTAGTTCAAGGATGGTTTTCTCCTTGATTAGTTTCCATGAATTACTTCTCATTTTGCCTTCAGGTGCTTCAGAGAATAGCTTTACCCCCTCTTCTTTGTGACAGTTCCTTAGATATTGGAACACTGCTATTGTGTTACCCCTAGTCCTTCTTTTCATTAATAGTTCTATTCATTCATAATTCTGCTTGTTTTGTTTGATGCTTTTTGAAAAATGGACCCTTTCTCTGCTAACTTCTTGTAGGCTACTATTTACCTAATTTATTTTGTGGTAGATTTTAAATGATTTACAAAGCCACACTGTAAACTTTTTAGATCAAAACGTGAGTTATAAATACTTTAGTAAACATGGTTATTTGCCAGAGATATGGTTTGATATGAATCAGACTAAATATAGCCCATGAATCTGAGAAGCAGCAGCACAGAAGCTTACTCCTGCTTTGAAGAGTCTTGGAGATGATGGGAAGATTAATTACTTTTTTCAGTCTGCAGCTGTGAACAGTAACAATGTCTTATTGCAATGAACCGCAGAGACAATTCAGGATCAAATTGCTTTAAACACATAAATTGGAATGGATTCTGAAAAGTTCAAACCATTCATCCAAATAGATTTCTTTTTTCTGTACAAAAAAGCTGTAACAATTCTTTGATGAATAATAATTTATTTCACTAAGGGCTTTCCAAGATAATCTGAAAAATGTCATTACAGATCTTTAGAAGCATGGTCCCTATACAAAATTGTAGAGGAGCATTGACACCTCTCAGGGAGGATGAGTGATGAAATGTGCATTGTGACATCATGACCACAAATCTCACATCTGAATCCTTTCCACTGATGTTGGGGTACAAAAAGGCAGGACTGCATTGTAGCAACACAATATACATTTATTTTTGTTTTTATCATCACATATCATAGGTACAGGAGGTCTATTTTAAAAATGTCACAGATATGCTCTAAAAGAAGTTTTATATAATTATACAATTTTATTTACACAAGAAGACCATTTAGAAGACCAATTATTTTTCCTAGAGCCATATTTCCATTTTAATCTTTGTGCTATTCAGTTCTTCCCTTTCTAGATAACTTCCCCAAGTTTTCTAACTCTATACCACAGCCTTCAAATTTTAGGCAGGCCAGTGATACATATGCCTGTTTTTCTGTCTCTTCTGTTACTTGTTGAACCCTTATATGAATTTATTAATGGCCCACTAACTAATAGGCTATTAGGAAATGCTTAATAAAATTCAGCCCTGGAACATATACCTTGCTCTTTTTAAGACTATATAAAGAACAGCCTTCAGTTATTAAGATATTATTATGCCTGTATCCCTTTATCTAAAACATATATCCCTCTCCTAGTGTTATTCTGATGTTCAGTCCTTTTCAAAACATATTTAGTACTGAGTACAGTAGAAAAAGCTGTTATATTTTTTATTATTCCTTCTTTGCAAAGGTCTAAAACTCAGGTATGCTTTAGGTCAGGTAATTATTCAGCCTTTGTCATCATGGGATGCCAAAAGGCAAAGGTTATGTTGGTGAAAATACAAGATCAGGCATATAAATCCACGTTAATTAACAGAATCATATTTTGGTTGCACCGGGTATATAACAAGATGACAAGGTTGTAAGGTGAATGCTTTTCAAAGCTCTAACACAATTAGGAGGTTGTAAGTGACACTTGGAAAGCAAAGGTTAATTTGGGTCATCAAAATGCAGTGATTTCTTACCTAACCAATCATTAAACTTCTTGACCTCAGAGGGTAGTCCCAACTCGGTAAAATCGCCTGTATGAAGCAAGATGTCCCCATAAGGCATCTGGACTCCATCTGTTCTGGAGTGTGTATCTGAGATGCAGACAAACCGTGTGTGGCCTGCTGGTTTCGGGGTGTCGTATGGAATAGGGTCGACCCTAAAACAAACATAACAGATCCCATTAAAATTACACTAGCTATAGACATTAAACAAATTAGGTATATTCACTATCTCGATACTTCCTGTATGATGGGAATTTTTCAGTCTTAAAGAGATCCTTGTAGTACACAAATTGATATTTTTGTTTTGTTTTTATACTGAATATTAGAAAAATAAAGATCCGAAAATACCACATATGCTTTTAAACAATTATTTTGTCAAATAGAAGTTACTAAGCTTCTATCACAAGATAAATTTGAATCAAAGTATGAAGAATTACAGATGGCAATAAAGGAAGAATTGTTTGAAGTCAGGCAGCATCAAAATCACATAAATAAAATAAACATGTATGTTCTTTTCATTCCTATATGGTGCATCACGCTGGCTATGTACCTCACATGTGACATACCTTCACAGCTGAGCAAGGAAAAAACTCCTGTTGGATGGAATCATCTATTTGTGTGTATTATTCTAATGGTATTCATATTCATTCTCTCTCTCTCTCTCTCTCCCTCTCTCTCTCTGACACACACACACACACAAACACCATGCAGTGTTTCGGCTTTGAACAGTTTTGAAGCGTAGAGGACATAAATGTAGCATCTGTCACTTAATTATTAATGTCTTTCCTGAGATAGGGCAGGGCAGCTGCACAATCTGAGCAAAAGAACAGTAACTTAAAGAAGTTGCCAACTGGTGTTAGGTAAGCATCCTGAACACTCAAAAAAAAAAAAAAAAAAAACCAAACCCATTTCTCCTTTGAATCTAAACAGCTGCACAATTTAGGTGCATTTATGTGTACATGTCAATGTTTATATGTGTACATTAGGATGATCAACGTATTTGGCTCTTTCTCAAACACCCAGACTGAAAATTTGAGAATCTTTGTGAGTTCTGATTATTAAATACATTATCAATCACTTTGCAAAATTTACCTCATAGTGAATTTAATGTTTATAAAGAACCTTTAAAGTAAAAAAAAAAAAAAGGTCAACTAGGTATGAAGGTATTTGAAGCGTTACATTCATATTCCAAATATAATTGGCAATATCAATTTTGGAAGTGCCATTTCTAGGTCTTAGAGACATAAATTATTAAAATAATAATTCATCTATGTGGATAACAAGAGCACAAACATATTCGCACAACTTGTCCATCCAGGAAGACCATCATTTTTAAAGAAAAAGAAATAAATAATTTCCCTATTTTCAGTTATGTGGACCAATTATTGCAAAATGGTTTAAAAAGAAATTAAGAAATTCCATTCTTACTTTTCTATTTTGTTTTTTAGCTTTTTCCATTCAGATACCAGCTTATTATGCTTATTACAAACATTGTTTATTCTTGCAAAGAACCCCACAAAATAATGAATATGCAGAATAATATAACTTCTATCAACATTTAGAAAATCTTAGTGAGAATATGCAATTAATAGGCTTCTTTTCCTTCTTACTATGTTCTTAAATTAGTAACAGTGTCAGAGGCTAAATTGGCAACTTAGATATAATTGTATCTAAGTACAATTGTACATGTATAACTGACATATATAGATTTAATAAGTTTATCTAGTGACTTTCTTTCTTACAATGTAGTTTCCAGAATAATGGAAACTTCCAGAATAATGCTTTGTTTGATTTTATAAAACAATATCAGTATCAGTGTGTTAGCCTATGGTCAAAATCTTAGTATCATTTCACTTTGCTCCAAGGAGTGCTTTGTTCGAAGAATGAGCTTCTGTGTTTGTCTGAAAGAATATTATTAAGACCTATTTGCATTAAGCATGAATATTCATCAGACTTATACTTTATCATGTACCCAGTACTTCCTCCAACTTATTCACAACATATTTGCTATTTTTAATTTTCAAAGGGAGATATTAAAACCGGTAGCTATCCAAAATCAATTTTCTATTATGGGTCATAGATAAACCAAACAAAATCAGAATTCCATTTTTTTTTCTGCTGAAAAGGTAAAGTGCTTGTTTGAAATTATATATCTGTTTATACTTCACAAAAGGTTGAACTGCCATTTGCAACTGGAAGGCATCAACAATTATTTAAATGAGACAGGGCTGCCAAAATGCAGTATTTCTCAAATATTTATGAAGAAGCAAAATGTGTGTCTGTGTACATGCAGTCACACACACACCCAAACATGCATGTACACATAAACTCTTCAGATACTTGCCCGCAGATATACAATTTACAGGATGTGATTATTAACTCAAGAACCTTGCAATTAATTTCTATTGTGGCAAGGCAAATACACATGAGGAAAGTGTATTATCTACTACTTTTTTGTCATGTCTCGTGATATTAGCTCATTAACTGCATCCCTTCTCCACAGCTGTATTTTTATCTTCAAAGCATGAAAGTTGGTGGTTTTGTTTCTTGAGCCCTGGGAACAGTAACAAACATATTCTTCAAGATTGTGTTCAAGTTTACTGTAGATTTATTTGTTAATTTGAAAGAAAAATGGAAAATATGCTGTTGAAGGGGCCATGGAATTGTAACTCCAGTATGGCAGAGATTTTTTTTCCCCTGCAACACAAATGGGACTGAAAGCTGTGGTTGGTAGGAGACACAAACATGAAAACAAAAATGAATATTGTATTGGCAGATAAGATTATTTTTAAATTTTTGTTGTAACTATAAATATTTATATAAAATATAAGTTACACACACACACACACACATTTTTATATCTTATAAATGCTATTTATAAACATTATCTATCACAAAAAGAAAACTCTTATAGGCAAGTTTCCTATTTTCAGAAATAGCCCATATGTTTTCTTGGTGATTCAGTTTAAGTATGTCAGAACTTTTTACCTTCAAAAGAAAAGTAACAATCATCCCAAGATTATTTTTTACAATGAAAGACAATAAATATATCTTTATGGAAAGTTCTTCATGAAATTTTCTTAATAAAATGCTTATGTTAAAATTTTACACATCAACAGGTTCACCCAATTATACTAATCATGCTGATATTCATTAAATATTAAAATCTTTAATATAGTTAAATTATCACATATGCCAACAGTACAACCAAATAGGGGATCTTAATTACTCTAACACCTGTTGGAAAACTAGCAGATGCCAGGCCCCTTTCCAGATGATTCCTGAAATGTCTTACTGACAACTTTCTCTTCCAGAAAAAGGACTGAGAAGGATCATCTGTCCCTGACTTGATACTAATCAAGGCTTACTGAAAATCATACTAAAATTGGTGAAAAATGATGCTATAATTCAACATTTTTAACAATGGCTAAGTGCAACTGAATTTTTAAATTGTAAGATGTGTATTCAATAAACTCAGAAAATAATGAGTAGTGTTCTTGATCATAAATGCTAAAGAGAAAGAGTGCTCAAAATGGGACTGTGTGTAGGGACTCTGCACATGGAGATGCATGCACACACAGAGAGGCACACATCAAGTGGCAAGCAGTTCTTATGCAAAATAAATAAATAAATAAATGGAGAAAACAGATATCAACTTCATTGCATCAATGGCTTATCAAGATGGATTCTTGTCCTTATTTGGGTAGCCCAAATGGTCCCCTTTGTGATTTTATGAAACTAAAACACATACATGTGATCCTTACTTTTACAATAATTCATAAATTTAATGAACCCATTAAATATAATTAACTGTCTGTACAGGAATACATATTAAAGCATGCCTAACCTACAATTGTCCAGTCTCCATTTCTAATGAAGGAGAGCTCACCATTTCCTTGAGAAATTGATTCCTTTCTCCAACTGCCATTCCCATTCGATGTATGCTACTACTAAAGTTAATTATTTTGGCAGATTTTCTTGGATTGGGAACTGTTGATAGAAATCAGGGAACAACATATGCCAGCTTTGTTTTACCATGGATTTTGGAAATCTCAGCAGAAACCTTGAGGGAAGCCTGATCACTCACACCATGGAAAAGTAATGCAAGTTAATTACTGTCAATTTCTATCAATTAGTGGATACAAAAATGTAAAGATAAAAATGAAAGAAAGTGTTGAGAAAGAAGCGTAGGAGTACAGGCAGATCCTAAAGGAAGATGTACTAAAGTCAATGTTACCCCCAAACTCTAGCAAAGATCTGAATACAAAATGAAATATATAAGAAATGATTTAGATTGCTGTCATTAGCGAGTTTATTAAATGTGGGTTTGATGGGATAATGAAAATGGATGCAATATTCTAAAACCATCCTCAGAGACTTTATCAGTGATTATCTATGACATTTGAGAAATGAAATGAAGTACCAAGGTTTCTGACCTGGGACTGTTACTGTTCTTTAATATTAAATTAATAACTTGGATGAAGTTGGAGAATTATTTATGAAAACTTTCAATAACAACAGAACTAATATCCTTGAAGATAGAAATACAATTTTAAATTACCTTATAAGAGAAATGAGATTTACCTTAGTATGTTTTAACTTGAAGTATCCATTACTTTGTTCCATCCAAATACTATTGATGCTTCTTAGTTCCATATACTGTAATTAAGAAGTTTTGGAGAAATAAACTGAGGCTTCTAAGCCAATAATCTTTTTTTATTGTAAGTTAAAGATACTTGATAAAATTGGCAGTAACTACTTGAGATGTGCAGTGATCTGGCTATGAAAGGGAAAAGGAAAACTGGAGCGAACACACTGTTTCTGCCTATAACTCTTTAAACAGACATTTGATTTACTGGAGTGTCAGCGAGTGCAACATTTGCTCAAAAATCGTGTTTGTTTCCTTCAAAATGGCATAACCTTGTTAGTCATTTTTGTGACTTTTAGAATTACAAGCTTGACTCTCTTGCCCTGGCAAAGCAATTGGGTTGGGAGAGGAGCACTTTAACACCTTGGCCCAGTCAAAAATTGACATGAAGGCACCAAATAAAATGTTGTTAAAATTAACAATACAAAATCAAAAACATTGCTTTGTGTATACTAGATACCTGAGAAAAGATTTAATGTGTTGGTGAGAATCACCTTGCTCTTAGAT